AAGTGGGCGTGCATCATTGCGGAGATGCGCGCCTGCCCCCCCCCCCCCCACTCAAGATTAATCGCGGCACGCTGAGTCGCATCTGCACGCGAGGCAAGCGCGCCAGGGAGCTGAAGGACCACGACGCCAAGGCGGGTGTCAAGGCGAAGGAAGGCACAGTAGCTACTACTCAGCAGCAGAAGGAGATCGGTACGCTGCGCACGAAGTTGGAGCTACTGGAGAGGGAGAACAAGGAGATTCAAGAGCAGTACGAGAAAGCTGAAAAACATGTTGTGGTACTGAAGAGCGTGCTCGAACTCGAAAAAAAGTTAAAAGGCTGACTTGCACTTCCAGTTGCGAGCTGAGAAGAGGAAGGTGGCGCTGTTCGCCAAACAGCTCCACGCTGCGAACGCCACCAATACCGAGCTGCAGCGAATGCTGTGCGAAGACGTTGAAGCCGTTGAAGCCGACGAGGAGACGCAGGAGACGCAAGGACCCGAGAAGCCGGACGGCTTGAAGATGCTGAGCCATGTTCTCTAAAATGTATTTCAGAGTCTACGGTGATGTGTGCGGGGGGGGGGGGCAAATCACTTGATTAAAGTATGGGTCAATACTAATCCCAATACTAAGGACCAAGTGGGTGGTTCCCAAGCAAATTCGACTCTGATTTATGTTAGCCTGTATCCAGCCTTCCCATCCGGCTTGGATCCTATCCACTACTGGCTCTTCTTCCTGCCTAATTATCCTAGCATAGCCACTGTACCAATAAATTGGTACGGATCCATACCTAATCCAGGAGGTCCTAATCCAGGAGGTCCTAATGTAGGTGACCGGATCCATGTGCACCACACCACTTGCACCGGATCCAACTTCAACTGCCCTGACCCGGCAACCGTACCCCCATCCAGCAACCATGGCGTCATCTGAGGGACCGAGCATCGTCACCAACTGCCGGATCCCATCACCTGGTCAACTGGCGGATCCGGTTCCATCAAGACCATTCTTGAGCGGATCTTCTTACCACAGAGCTGGCCGAGGTCTTCCACGGCACGAAGTGGGCGTGCATAACTGCGGAGATGCGCGCCTGCGCCCCCCCCCCCCCCACTCAAGATTAATCGCGGCACGCTGAGTCGCATCTGCACGCGAGGCAAGCGCGCCAGGGAGCTGAAGGACCACGACGCCAAGGCGGGTGTCAAGGCGAAGGAAGGCACAGTAGCTACTACTCAGCAGCAGAAGGAGATCGGTACGCTGCGCACGAAGTTGGAGCTACTGGAGAGGGAGAACAAGGAGATTCAAGAGCAGTACGAGAAAGCTGAAAAACATGTTGTGGTACTGAAGAGCGTGCTCGAACTCGAAAAAAAGTTAAAAGGCTGACTTGCACTTCCAGTTGCGAGCTGAGAAGAGGAAGGTGGCGCTGTTCGCCAAACAGCTCCACGCTGCGAACGCCACCAATACCGAGCTGCAGCGAATGCTGTGCGAAGACGTTGAAGCCGTTGAAGCCGACGAGGAGACGCAGGAGACGCAAGGACCCGAGAAGCCGGACGGCTTGAAGATGCTGAGCCATGTTCTCTGAAATGTATTTCAGAGTCTACGGTGATGTGTGCGGGGGGGGGCAAATCACTTGATTAAAGTATGGGTCAATACTAATCCCAATACTAAGGACCAAGTGTGTGGTTCCCAAGCAAATTCGACTCTGATTTATGTTAGCCTGTATCCAGCCTTCCCATCCGGCTTGGATCCTATCCACTACTGGCTCTTCTTCCTGCCTAATTATCCTAGCATAGCCACTGTACCAATAAATTGGTACGGATCCATACCTAATCCAGGAGGTCCTAATCCAGGAGGTCCTAATCCAGGAGGTCCTAATCCAGGAGGTCCTAATGTAGGTGACCGGATCCATGTGCACCACACCACTTGCACCGGATCCAACTTCAACTGCCCTGACCCGGCAACCGTACCCCCATCCAGCAACCATGGCGTCATCTGAGGGACTGGGCATCGTCACCAACTGCCGGATCCCATCACCTGGTCAACTGGCGGATCCGGTTCCATCAAGACCATTCTTGAGCGGATATTCTTACCACAGAGCTGGCCGAGGTCTTCCACGGCACGAAGTGGGCGTGCATCACTGCGGAGATGCGCGCCTGCGCCCCCCCCCCCCCCACTCAAGATTAATCGCGGCACGCTGAGTCGCATCTGCACGCGAGGCAAGCGCGCCAGGGAGCTGAAGGACCACGACGCCAAGGCGGGTGTCAAGGCGAAGGAAGGCACACTCGTCGAGAAAGCTGAAAAACATGTTGTGGTACTGAAGAGCGTGCTCGAACTCGAAAAAAAGTTAAAAGGCTGACTTGCACTTCCAGTTGCGAGCTGAGAAGAGGAAGGTGGCGCTGTTCGCCAAACAGCTCCACGCTGCGAACGCCACCAATACCGAGCTGCAGCGAATGCTGTGCGAAGACGTTGAAGCCGTTGAAGCCGACGAGGAGACGCAGGAGACGCAAGGACCCGAGAAGCCGGACGGCTTGAAGATGCTGAGCCATGTTCTCTGAAATGTATTTCAGAGTCTACGGTGATGTGTGCGGGGGGGGCAAATCACTTGATTAAAGTATGGGTCAATACTAATCCCAATACTAAGGACCAAGTGTGTGGTTCCCATGCAAATTCGACTCTGATTTATGTTAGCCTGTATCCAGCCTTCCCATCCGGCTTGGATCCTATCCACTACTGGCTCTTCTTCCTGCCTAATTATCCTAGCATAGCCACTGTACCAATAAATTGGTACGGATCCATACCTAATCCAGGAGGTCCTAATCCAGGAGGTCCTAATCCAGGAGGTCCTAATCCAGGAGGTCCTAATGTAGGTGACCGGATCCATTGTGCACCACACCACTTGCACCGGATCCAACTTCAACTGCCCTGACCAGGCAACCGTACCCCCATCCAGCAACCATGGCGTCATCTGAGGGACCGGGCATCGTCACCAACTGCCGGATCCCATCACCTGGTCAACTGGCGGATCCGGTTCCATCAAGACCATTCTTGAGCGGATCTTCTTACCACAGAGCTGGCCGAGGTCTTCCACGGCACGAAGTGGGCGTGCATCACTGCGGAGATGCGCGCCTGCCCCCCCCCCCCC